GTCGGAGGCTATCTTGACCCATCTTGAAGTAACATGGGCCATTTGGAGGCCATCTTGCGATTTTGAACGCCTCTTGGAGCAATATTGGGCCATATTGGACGCTCTAACGCCTCGCGGCGCGCCCCGTCCAGGCCCAGGGGAGGGGGATGGGGGAGGGGCTTCAGTGGAAAGAAGAAGAAGAAGAAAAAAAAAAAAAAAAAAAAAAAAAAAAAAAAAAAAAAAAAAAAAAAAAAAAAAAAAAAACGCCAGACCACCTAAGCCCAGAGGGCTTGTGGGCTTCACAAGAGGTTCCTTGGAGGTCTGTCGGAGGCTATCTTGAGCCATGCTTGGCTATCTCGGGCCAATTTGAAGGCCATCTTGGGCTATCTAGGGCTGTCTTGGAGCCACTTTGGGCCAAAAAGGGCGGGGTGGAGGGTCTTTGGGAGAGGCTGGGAGGCCTCTTGGGGCCACCTTGGGCCCCATGTCTCAAAAAGAGGAGGCGCCTGGGGCAGCTTGGAGCGGTCTTGGGGCCGTCGGAGGCTCTCAAACGGCGTCTTGGGGCCGTCTTGGAGCGGTTTGGGGCGCTTCTTGGGCGATCTTGGGGTCGTCTTCGGCTTTCTTGGGCCCCTCTTGGGGCCCTTTTGGGCCATCATGGTGCCATCTTGAGGCTCCCAAAGCCAATCGGGAGCGAAAAGGCGAGAGTGCCAAAAACATGGATTTGCCTTAGGTTTCTTTGAAGGGTTTCGGCATCTTGGAGAGCGCCGTGGAGGGCTCGAAGGGCACTTGGATCCCTCTTGGGGCTGTCTTGGGGCCTCTTGGGGGTAGGTCGGAGGCTATCTTGACCCATCTTGAAGTAACATGGGCCATCTTGGAGGCCATCTTGCGATTTTGAACGCCTCTTGGAGCAATCTTGGGCCATCTTGGACGCTCTAACGCCTCGCGGCGCGCCCCGTCCAGGCCCAGGGGAGGGGGGGGGGGAGGGGCCCCAGTGGAAGAGAGAAGAAAAAAACGCGTTATACCACCTAAGCCCAGAGGGCTTGTGGGATTTACAAGAAGCCCCTCCGTAGAGCACACACTTGAACAGAATCTGGCATGGGTTCCCATCCGGATCCACATGCTGCTTGCGCACCACGATCACGTGTTGTTCCACGGTGTCGTCGTTGTGCATAACTCTCCTCCATTTGCGTAATTCACGGCCTTCCCATCGAAGTCCTGGAAAAGGGGCGTGGGTGAGCAGGGAGGAAGGATAGGGAAAAGCAATGATACAGAGGAGGAAAAAAGAAGTGAATCAAAGGAGCAGCTTCCAACGCTCCTTCCGGACGAAGGTCCGGCAAAGTTCCCGATGTTCTGGGGTTCCCCGACCGGGGTCCATGGCGCGTCGCCGTCTATGTAGACGGTTTCGCGCTGGTCGCCCCCGCGCTGGTCGCCCCCGATATCGTCCTCTGGTGAGTGGGAAGCACTGACAGCAGCGCTGCCTGGGGCATTGCGCGTTGGTGCGGCCCCGAACGGGTCGACCCCGGGTTCGCTTCGTGGCGCGACAAGATCTGGTTTTGGGCGAGATCTTCGTGGGGCAGCGTGGGCTGGTGCGGCACGGAACGCGGACGCGCGCTGTGGCCTTGGCCCAGATACCGCAGGAAAGTGAGTGCACGTGGCAGTGCACGTGCACGCCGGATGCATCGCGGACCCTGCGCATGTCTTGGTAGCGTTCCTCGTATTGCGCATCCCGAAGGGCCGCGCGCGCCTCTCTGTGCCGGGAAGAGAGAATGTACTGCGTGAGCCTGGGGCCCAGCAGAAGAATTGGCCGCAAGCAAGGTCGCCCTCTCGACAGACCTGCCTTCGTGTCCACCGCCTCCCGCCAACTTTCCGCCGGCATCCCGCCTGAATGGAGCCTTCCGCCGGCCGTTTGTGCAGGAATGCCCCAGCATCCACACGTTTGCGCCGGTATTTCCACTATTTATATGTTTGCGCCAGTATTTCTTCAGATGTTCGGGGCCCCTTTGGCTCATGATTTGTAGAAACGGCAGATTTGTCCTAAAATTGTCCTGTGTGATTGTCCCTAGGTCGTGTTGTATTTTTACTCCCGCCATGGCACATGCAATATCATTGTCTATCGCCATCCACAACGCCCGTACACATTACATCTACAATATGGTGTTTCGCGAAAATCGATATCATTGCATCATCCGCCACTCACATCATGTAGTGCGCCTCTTATATGTGTTCCACGCACGTCCCGCATTGCACGATTTGGCCCAAACGGTTTCGGCCTTTCATGCTCGCCCAGTGGGCGGGCCGCCCCGACGACGTCGACGAGGATGTCGGGGCTGGCGCTGCGGCCGAGGCCGCAGGCGCCGCCGCCACCCTCCTCGCCTGGCGCGTAGGCGCCGAGGAGGCGGGCGAGGAGGGCGCGGCCCCGCCCGCCGAGGGCGCGGCCCCCTCCGCCCTCGGCGCCTGGGCCTGGCGGCCAGAGGAGGAGAGCGGGGCCGAGGGCGGAGGCGAGGAGGGGGGCGGCGCCGACGGGTCCGCGGGCGGGGTCGTCGCGGCGGCTGGCGGCGCAGAGGTCGCGGTGGCTGGTGGCGCCCAGCAGCAGTGCCGCACTGCTGCTGCGTGGCGCCGTGCCGCCGCCGCCCGCGCGGCGGCCCCAGGACGCGGGCGTTCTGAAACGCCTCCTGGGCCCCCGTCCCCCTATTCAATATAGGGGGACGAGGGCGGGGCGGGGGCGCTGACGGACGGAGACTACGATGAGAATGATGGGTAGGAGGGGGGGGGCTAGGATGGTGGAGGAGGAGGGCCACGGCAAATTCAAGACGCATCGGCGATGCATGGGCGTGAGAGTCCCCGCCCCCAAGCCCTTTTGCGCAGCCCCCTTGCGAGCGTTTCTTGTCCCCCCTCCCCGCCCCCCCCCCTAGAATGACGAGGGCCCCGTGGGCCCGCCATTGCGGCGAGGGCCCCGCGACGGGCGGCGGGGCGCCTGCGCCCCCCTGGCCGCGAGGCGCGCCTGGACACGCGGCCAGGACGCTCGAGGAAGAGCCCAGCGAGATCCCCATTTTGAAAATAAGTTTGCGTCCGCGTGCGTAGCGGCCGCGCGAACTTAGGGCGGCGGTCGGGTCGTCTTGCGTGACTCTCGCGGGGGAGTTTCATGTCGGGAACGGGCTTAGTATCCGCGACGACCCCCCTGCCTGCGCGGGAGGGGGGTCGTCGCGGATATTGGGTGTCTGGGCGGATGAGAGCGGCGCCCCATTTGCGTTTTAAGTGTTAGGGCGGGGGGGGGGGGAGGGGAGATGCCGCCCCCCCGTCGCAGGAGGCCCGCCCCGCGCTGGCGCCGCTCGCTGCGGGGCCTGCGACATCGACGCCATCGGCCAGGTCATCTCCGACGTTGCGCGGATGGCTACCTCGCACCCGCACTTGCTCCTGACAGATGACAGGGCCGCCGAGACAGTCAAGATTGCAATGAACCGAGAAGTGCGCACCAGAGGGAGTTTCAAGTCCCAGGCAGCCCAGTTTGGCATCGATCGCAAAGCATTGAGAAACATGAAATGTTTGTCCTCGTGTTGTTCTATGGTGCTTCACATATTCATGGTGAAACTACTTATTTCCACTCTCGTCGGCGACGTGGTGTCCAAGAAAGGGGTGGCCGTCTGCGCTATATTCACGACTCGGTACGATGAGACGCCCATGTCAGTTACTGTCCCTGAGGCTGCAGCAGACGCCCTTCTCCCGAAAGAGTTCGAGCATTTGAGGGACATCTTGAATCATGACACTTCCTTCTGGCACGTCAGCTCGTCCCGAGATAAGGCCCCGACCAAGCTGCTCCAGGTTGAATGTGCCATCACGTTGCTGGTGCAGGTCGACAAACAGTATACGGCCTTCACCTTCGATGTCCCCCTTCCGATTTTGAACGTTGGGCGGTGCACAGCAGAGTGTTATTTCCTGGCCTGCGAGTTCGTGTTGCAGTTGGTCGGGTGGGAGGGTATATCGAGGCTGTGCACCAGGGCGTACAGGGTGAGCTGCACGGACGGCGATGGTGCCATTGGCCGCGCAGAGCGCGCTTTGCAGACATCGTTGGGCACGCCGTCGCTGCGTCTCCTTTGCTTCGCCCACAAGGGCGCGACTGTTCGGGAGCGCGCTGCAGTTCCCGCGAAGTCCGCCCACAGCTACATGACGCATGCAGTGCTGTCCCTGAGGTTTGGCAACCACCGCAAAGTATTCCGGGCTGCCGCTCGTCTCGTCATTGCGCAGCGCTTGAAGATCATATACGGCATGCCGTCCATGGAGGCGCGGACGAGGAACGCGAGGAAGCTCGACATGGTGCTCCCGAACACCCAGGAGAATGAGCCGCTGCGGGCGCTCGTGCTGACCATGTGCGGCGGGAACTGGGATGACGAGGAGGTCGTGGAGACGTTCGTTCCGCCAGGGGCGCAGCGCGAGGTGGGCGACGAACGCTGGCCGCCAACGCCGCGCGTGGCCAGGCCGACCCCGAACCCGAGATTGGCGCTCGGCCCCCCCGCGTAGGCGGGCGGGGCACGGCGCGCGGCGAGAGGGAGGGGACGCGCGCGAGATACGGTCTAAGGGCGAGGGGTGCGGATGGGGGGGGGGAGCGCGCGCGTGCCAATCTTAGGCGTTGGGTCGGCCTGGCCAGGCGCGGCGGTGATGTTCGGTTTTCGTTGTCTGTGGTCTGGTCATGGCGCGATTCCTCTTCAGATTCGTCGGCGCCGTCGTGAACCGCGAGTTGCACAATTACCCCGGCAGGGGCTGGACATGTTGGGAGAAAGGGCCGTCTTGGATTGGGCCCCTGGCGATCGCGCACGGCCTCTTCGTTCCGATATATAGGCTCTTCTGCCAGCTACTTCAAGATAAGGCTGGTCCAGGTGGTGACGTTCGAGCCGTTCGTGCGGCGGCGCCTGTTGCCGACGGCGGCGCGCCTTTGCCTGCGATCGCTGATGACGGCGGCGCGGGCGGCGGCGGCGGCGCTGACCCTGGCGCTGGTGCAGGACATCATGCAGGTGATGCTGACGAGGCCGATGCACGCGCTGCTGCAGGAGGTGCTGGCGGCGCCGTCGCAGGTCTTGGGGGCGCACGCTACGCGTTTGCCCCGAGCGTGCCCGACGCCGCCCCAGGTGCAGCAGCTGCGCGCGCCTTGCGGCCCGCCCGCCACGGGGCGGGCCTCAAGGCGCGCGCGCTCCGCGCACTTCCCGCGGCACGGGTGCGTCGGCGCGCGCGGGGCGGGGGCGTAGTGAGCGCCCCTCTGCCACAGGGGAGCCCGACGGCCAGGATGTCTGGGAGGCCCGCCGACAGGAGCAGAGTAAGTATCGAGAGTCGGTCTTGACATGGTGCGATAGTGGCCTCGTGTTGCAAGATTGCGTCATCATGTGTCGAGTTGCTTACATCCACGCGTCGTACATCTACGGTTTCTTGGGCCTGGCCAGCGTCAAGTGGGAACGATCCCAGAGGCGCGTGGAGCTGGATAGATCGATGGAGCCTGGCCCCCAACGTCGCCCCCCTCGGACGTACCAGCTGGAGGCGGCCTACCTTGCTAGGGAAGAGCGGGCCGTCATCGAGTCATGCCACGCCCTGATCATGGATGACGCTGCATTCGACGGTCTCCCCCTCAGAGATCGCACCCACGTGTACCAGACGATGGCGTTCCAGATGCTTGCTCGCAGTGCCTGTCGCTTTCATAGTCTTGTTGACGAGCTGAGCAACTACCCCTACAAGTTGTTCGGCACCCTTTCCAACGGCGCCCTTGCGTCGGAGATCGCAGACGACATGAAGTGCTCTAAGCGCATGGACGCGTTCTCTCGACATTTCACTGGCTGTCATGGTGGTGTGCACGCAGTCGATGCAGGCATGGAGTTGATGGCGATTGCGTTGAAAGCTCGTCGTGATCAGGTGTCGATCGAGAGGAACCATGGGGTACTTCGTCGGTTCGTTCTTGGATGGTCGCCCCAGGGGAGGGCCATCGACCTGCACGGCATGAACGCCGAGTGGATCTCCAAGGGCATTCAGATGCAAGCTTCTGGGCTGTGGCGGCAGATATTCAACGATAAGCAACATGATGCAGCCGTTGACGAAGGGGGCGATGAGGACCGAGGAGGCGCCAGTAGGGGCGCGGCGAGGAAGCGGAGGTTGTCCGAGTGGAGCGTCTTCTGCAGCGAGCAGAAGCGCGGGAAGTCCATTGCAGAGATGCCGACGTTCGCGCAGTTGAGCACCAGGTACGCGGACTTGTCCCCTGACGAGTTCGCTGCTTTGACGAGACGGGCTGCAGAGGCTAATTGTGCTGTCGATCATGGCTCGGCGGCGCCGCTGGGGCTTCGGCGCAGGCGGGCTGCTCTTCCCGATGCGGGCGCTGCCCCTGGCGCCGACGCTGGCGTCGTCGCGGTCGGCGGCTTCGCAGCCCTCGATTGGGACGGCCTCATGGCCGCGAGCAGGCTTCGGAGGCAGGAGGCGCAGAGGGCGAGGGCTGCGGAGAAGGAGGAGCTGGAGCGCCTCAGGGCTTACGACGTGGACGCGTCGGGCTGCCTAGTGGATCGCGCCATGGCCGCCATCGGCGACGGGGCCAGGCGCCACGCGCCAGACGTATCGAGCTCGCCGACTTCTACGGACTGCTTCCAGCATTTGGAGCTCAAGAACAAGAGCGTTCAGAAGATGACGGGGTCTATTTTATCGCACAGCGGTCGGCACCAGCACGCTCGGCTCCTGCGCGCGCAGCTCGACGAGGTCTGGGCCGCCGCCCACAGCACCATCCAGCACAGGCCCGTCCCCGACGTCAGCAGCAACGCTGCGAACCCGCCAACTCTGAAGACCCGCCTCTGCCACGCGGCCAACGCGTGCCTGTGCTCACCCCTCGGGAAAGCACACGTTGCCATGCGGGCCAAGCTCCACAGGATCGTGACGTCCCAGTTCCCCAAGGCTGACGGGCAGGACGCCCTGCTCGGCGCTGAGATCGTTCTCCTGGTTGTCCCAGCGCCTCGACCCGCCGCCGACGGCGGCGAGGGCGTGGGCGTCGGCGCCCAGCCTGGTCCTGGTCCTCGTCCTCGCTGGTTCTTCCTGGCCGACGTCAAGCTTAGGCCGTTCACGTTGTTCATCCACGAGATGGAGGCATCCGACGAGGGGGATAGTGTTGACGCGTCGAGGCGCGCGGAGGGCAACCCAGGGCAGTTGGCATTGAGCCGCGCGCGCCTCACCTCGCTCACAACTAACTTTACTGACTGGACGGCAGTTCGCGAGTTCAGGGCCGATATCGCGTGGGACGTGTGTTTCTTCAGAGTCGGCTACACGGGGGAGCTCGTTGGCACGATACAGGCTCGATATCTTGACGTCGTCGCGTTGGGCGGCGGCCTCGTCCATGAGTGGTGGAGCCCATCGAAAGCTAAGAAGTTGAGTGCGGGTCAGATGCTTGCTTCGTGGCGCGCTGCTGCGGAGGGCGACGACTCGGACGATGGCGAGGGGCCTGGTGAGCTCCCTCAGGATGACGATGATGACCCTGGTCATGGAGACGATGGCCCCAGCGATGGTGAGTGGTCCATGTTTGGCCCGACGCCGCCCCAGCCCGACGCTGGCATTTCAGACGACGGTGGTGGAGGTGATGAGGGTGGCGGGGGCGATGGAGATGGTGGGCACGGCGCAGGCGGCGACGGTGGCGCTGCACCTAGCGGGGACGCTCCACCTCCTCCTGATCCTGTAGCGCTGGAACCTCGGGACCGTGACGTGGTGCATTTCGACATACCTGGTTTGGGCGCCATTGTTCATTATGCGACGTCTGGGTTCTACGCGCACTGCCATGACGAGCTGCACCGCGACGACGGCGCGGGTGCCAGGCGCAAGAAGGGCCAGGCCGCCGACCCTCGTTCCAGCCATTGTTGCAGGAAGAATCGCATTGGTATCAAGTGCAAGCGTACAGCGCGGGGGACTGGTCGACCCCTGGGCTTCTTGGTATGTTGGTTAAGGGAGCACGGCTCCTGGGCAACTGCGGATGAGCACAAGTTGATGTTCGGGTGCTCGCTGGGAGATCGGCGCGCTGCCAGGGACTGGTTGAAGACCCTCCCTGGCTCGCACGTGCTGTTCGAGTGCGAGCGCGAGAAGCTCCCAGGTGAGGACTCCGAGCACGAGCTATTTCAATAGGGGTGCGTGCCGAGAGGCGGATGGCTGCATGTAGCGGCGTCTTTCGGTGCAACAACTTTCCCGCCACAGCGTCATTCTGGCACCGCGTGCGCAGCGCGTCGCGCGCAGTATGTCCCATGCGTGATGCACGTGATGCGCGCCCCAGCTTGTGTGCCAGAGGCTCGCCCCGTGCGCGCAGCTAGCCAGCGCTGCATCGGTCGGTCCCGCAGTGGGTTTGCACCATGGGGTTCCGCGCCCACTCCTTCCCCCTCGCCGTCGGGGCCCTCGTGCCCGTCGCCCCCTCGGGTCCTCGGGCCCTCTACGGCGATGCCGTGCCCATCTGTATCTTCTCGCGCTCGCTTCGGGGATCCAGGCTCCAGGCGCAGAACGAGAGGGCTGGCCCAGGGCGCGCATGCCAATGCCAATGAAAACCGCGAGGCACAGGATGCCCAGTTAAACGACAGTTTCAACATTGCGTTTAGACTGTAGGTTTCAGGGGTTTGGGGGATCCTTTATTATTCTCGGGTGGTCGGCATCGGTTCAGGGGTTCCTCAAGCGCCGTGTTCCAGTAGGGGCGCGCGCGGGCGTGCTGGTGGGAGGGGCTGGGGGATAACACGCGCGTGGTCACACGGGGGCGGGGAGGGGGAGGGGCAGTGACCCCAGGTCCAGCATGTGGCACCAGGGCAAGGGCGCTCAGCCGATAGCGTTTCGCACGCCGTGCACACTCCGACCCAGGGCGCGCACGTGTATATGCGCCCCAAGTGTATCGGGTCAAGATTGTTGCAGCCATCCGCCATCTCTGACATCGAACGTTCCATCCACGTGGGCTTCGCGGCGCTGCCGCTCATCGGGGCCCGACGGTCGGCGTCGGCGGCGTCTCGGTCGACGCCCAGCTCGACGGCCAGGCCGACTGCCAGCTGGGCGCGGCCATGTCCCCGCCGACGGGCCATGACAGCTTGCACAGCCGCAGGGGTGGCCGTCGACCCAGCAGCCGCAGCCGCAGCCGCAGCAGGGGTCGACCCATGGACCCCGTGACCGAGATGACTGTTCAGGCTCCCTGCCCCGCGAGCTCCTCGCCATCTCGTCCGCTTTAGCAGTTTCTTACCTAGGTGGTTTCAAACTCGCCCCCTCCCCCCTCCCCCTTCCACCACCCCTCATCCTTTCATCGCCGCCCACCCCCCCATCCGCCCGAGTTCGCCATGCCCTCCATGCGGCGTGGACTATGCCCCTAATCTACGTGTCTCTCCTCTCCCCCTGCTTGCCGCGGGGCCTTGCCCGCCTCCGCTGCAGCTGTGCGCACCCTGCCCGCTCTTCCCATGTATGTGCCATCCCCTTGCGACCGTGTCGCCGCTCGCACCGCCGTCGGCCCCGTCCTCCGCCCCCCGAGGCCTCCTGCTTCGCACTCCCCCCGCGGGCGCCCAATGCCCGCGCGCCCATGCCCGCCCTCCCCAGCCATCCCGCAGGCTCTGCGGGCCAGGGTCCGCAACCTCGAGGAGCGGCTCCTCGCCCTGGAGGCCGCGTTCGTGCGCGCCGTGGTCCAGGCTGGCGCCGCGGATGGGCCGAGCCGCCCAGTGCTCCCGCTCGCCGAGGGGGTCGGCCCCGATCAGAGCGAGGGCGGGGGCGTGGGCGGGTCGTCGGATGCAAGCTGACCGCCTTCCTTGACGTCGGGCATCGGCGCGCTGCCTCGCTCGCCCTTGCACCGACTCCTGACTGTTCCCAGGGGCTGTGGGATCGCCCACCCCGTCTGTCGAAATTGCGTGCAGCCCCCCTCCCTGCCCCAGCCGCCCTCGCCCCTCACCCTCGATGTAATATCATTCCCCGCCTCCGCCTCGCCCTCGCACTGCCAGCCTCGGCCCGCATGGGTGCTATGTACCGTCCAGGGGGGTCGCGCGGCGACGGGCGTCGCCGTCGGCCGAGCAGCCGACTCAGGGCCCCCCCCAGCGCCTCGGGGGGGGGATGGGGATGCAGAGTTTGGAGTGGCCACCGTTGGACTGTGTGGGGGTCTCGGTCTCGCCACCATAGGTCCTGGGTCCTGGCATCAAGGCAGGCGCATCTAGACTTTCAGCGCCTTCGTGGCCGGGAGGCGGGGGCACGCGTGCTGTCGGGGGTTGGTGGCGTTGGCCGTGGCACCTGCGTGGCGCCCTCGCGGCGCTGCCGCGGCGCGCGGCGACCCGACCAGCGGCGCCATCTTGGCCCGCGGTGCGTTTAGATTTGGTTGCCCGTGGCGCACTCGGGTTCCTTTGGGCCCATGTGTTTCTCAAGGGGTCGGGCGTCGGGGTCGGGGGGAGGGGGCGGGGGCATTGCGGCTTGCGCGCTGGATTTGGGCCGCCTCTCGTCGCCGACTCGCGATCGCGAGGCGGGCGCCCGAGCTTTGCGTTCGAGTCGGCCGTGTTCGACCCCCGCCCCCTGGGGGTCGTTGCTGCAGCCGTCGCCATCGTTCTAGCGGCCGCCAGTGTCGCCGCCGCTACGCAGCTGCTGCCGCGGCCGCCGACGCCCGACGCCGCCGCCGCAAGCGCCCAGCCAGGCCCGCAGCCATACGGGCAATGCAAACTGCAGTCGGCGTTGTCGAGCCCAGTTCAGCCGTGGCGTTGAGGGGGGCTTTCGGGCGGCGATCGGACCATTGCCAATCGGGGGGCAGACCAGCCGTGGTCGGAGTTCTCGTCGGGCTGCAGACGCCACCGCTGGGTCACCGATGGCAGGCGGGCCGATTGATG